GATGTGACATTGAAGTAGGACTTGGGTTTCTGATTCACTTGTGTGCCTTTAAAGCTCTTACCACGGGAGAATCTGAAATCTTTTTGTTACCTTTGTTATGCGACTCAAATCTGTTTTTTCTTTTTTATAGTCCTTTTGTTTTTCCCAGGGTAAGAAATGCTGATAGTGCTCAGAAGGGCTGTTTGCTGGCGATTTCCAGGGTCAGTTCACAGAGGCTGCTACTTTTTCTGGCCATTCGTTTTTCCTTATGCAGTAGTTCAAATTCATCCAGCTTCAGTTCTTATTTCCTCACTGTTTGCTTAAATGCTGTTCTGTCTTATTAGACTTACTGTCTTTTTGAAGAATAAGTTATTTCTACAAGTTTGTAGAAACAAAAGAATTTGTTTAAGACAGTCATGATATTTTATGGCCATTAAGTTTTCTGATCTTGCTTCACGCATAACAGAGACTGTTGAATTTTGGCTGGTAATACTCACGTTAAGGTTAATAATTTGTGGATCGAAGTGCAGCTGTCGTGTATGAACACAACCCATCATGGTATAAAGAAGGTTTGTAATAAATGAATATAACAAGATCTGTCTGTTACTGAGCAGGCTCACTGTGCCATGGGAAAATTCTGACATGGTTACATACTTTGGTTTTACTTGGAGTTACGCTGGGATTAGCTGAAAGTACAGTGAAGCCAAAGCAACAAGATGGGGGGGGTTTCTAACATGGAAGAACATCCCTTTCAGTAGTTACTTGTACGTGTGTCTACGCAGTCATTGCTGTTGCTGTTGAATTTGTTCTCAGGATCAAATCTGGCCTTACAGGTTTTATAGAGTTTACCAGGAAGTTAGCTCTTCCGTTTAGGATTTCTTGTATGATTTGTGTAACCTTTCTGGGACTAACAAGCTGTAGATACAATAACCTGGTTACTAGGGTATTACGGCAGCAGCCATGTAATCATTTCCTTGCCCAAGCAGCTGTTCTGTATGCATGTCCACCCAGACTGTTGTTCACTAGATGCTGAGAATATCACATAGCAAAAAGCAGAGCTCGTCGTGGTGGCTTCTTGTTGGTTCTGATAGCCATGGATAGACATAGTGGAGGGCACTTGGCACGGAAAAATCAGACTTTTCTCCTTGATTTGGAATGACTGTTACTTTCTTAGCTTCAGAAACTCCTTCATGACAGTAGTAGGATTTTTACAAGTTTAAATGCCCATATGTCAAGCATCTATGGAGGGGAATATGAATATGTATATTTATATGTAAACATAAGCTGTGAGTGAGTAAATAGAATAGTAATAGCAACTATATTGCACTAGTATCCAAACGTCCTATTTAGAGGCAGTTCACATTTGGGCTGCAGTGTACAAACAGAAAAACTTATTCCATCTAGGAAGGCAAAAACTTTGGGTTTTGTATACGTTAAGAGAACATATGGTTTATTTATACTTAATCATAATACAACAGAAAGGAGAGAACACAGAAGTAACCAGAACGAGTCGTCTTACATAAGTGTTTGAAACCATCAGCTTCAGGAAGAAGAAGCAGAGTACCAAAAGTACCTTGCATTGGTCTTAGGCATGCAAGGACCAGATTGGTTCGGTTTTTTTGAAGCTTGGAAGAAATCTAATCTACTCCATTAACTCAATGTCTACAAGTCATTGCATTAGACAGAAATTATAAAACATACTCTTAAACATTTGCAGGGCTGTATGTTATTAGCATGTCTGCTAATAAAAGAACACCACCAAAACTCACTTTTCTTGTCACGACTAGCTTCCTTCAACTGGAGCAGTAACCGTGTTTTGAACAGGGAGAACTGTAGAGCCAGTTCTTTCTCAACCAGTATGGCTTAATGCAGGCCAGATTGAACTGCAGTGGTCAGCATTGACTGATGATCTCTCCATTGATGTTTGTGAAACTTTTATTTGGAGGCAGTGCCTGTACTCGCTCGGCATCACTGTCTAGCTGCTAATGCTTCATCAGACACTGCGTTCACAAGCACCTTTGATTAGAAAGTAGTTTCAGCACACTTGCAAGTGAGAACATTTGCATCACTCCCAGGAGCCCAACCAGAACTGAGTATTTGCTGAAAAGGAAGTTTGTACTAAAAATAAGTGTGACCTTCTCGAATCAGCACTTTTCTGAAATTCCAGTGAACCAGTACGGCTCTTTCCAGCATTGTAAGAACAGCAAAAGTAATGTTGTGTTTCAATAATTATCTCCTAGTAAAAAGGGTGCAACTTGAGACCTAGTCGATCTTACTTTATTGGCACAGGCATTGATATAGATGTGTAGTCGACTTGAATTATTGACAGATCAAAGTTCACATTTTGCATTTACTTTGTATGAATTTGAACAACTATGTTAGCACTAGAGTAACACAGAATTATGCTTCTTTCCTCTCTTCTCCCTCTTTTCTTCCCCAGAAGCTACCCTTAAGAATGACAGAGAATTGCATTTGCTGAAAAACCTACTAATCTAGTCTTTGTTAGAAGGCAATATGTCTGTTTGTTTGTCAGTTAATTCTTTTCAGGTAGAAGAAAAAAGATCTGGCGTGATAAACATGTACATAAAATGACAAAGTGAGCGTGCTGGGCATTGTTCATTTTCCTGGAAGCTGCCTCTTGTATAGATTTACACGGAGTGGTACACGTCTGAACGAGAAGTAGGGAATGATGGTGCAGAATCGCCCATGGGAAAAGTTTTTCAGGCTTTAAAGTGGAATGGCAGTGATATGTCTGCAGTACCGTAATGCTTTCCTCATAGTGTACACACATTGTTGGATAGTGGATGATGTGCTGATAGGGAGTAGCAGAAAGCAGATATTCCTATGCTCCAGAGTCTCACTGTGAGCCAAGTGTTTTGAATTGTCAGCCTGCAGACTGATGCTCTGGATAAATAAGGTTTAAGTGGAAGAACTGGATTGCTTGATAAGCTTCTTCCCATTAAACTGTTGCTCACCATGTGCGTTTTAGAAAAGACTTCTGCATGGGACTGTAACAATTTAAAGAAAGAAAGAATCATTCTGTTTGTGTATTAAGATAGGGCACTTTGTTTTGTCACTTTGGATTGTGCTTACAGGGACAAAATTTTTAAAGCAGCAAAATTATATTTGAAAAAATCGTGTCGAGAGAAATGAATTAATCCTTTTAATGTGTGTATCTTCATTTAATTCAAACATTTTGAAGGAAACTGTGTTTCCAAGTGTTATATTTACTTCTGCTGCTTATTTCTGCTTTGGGCATTCCTAGGGGCCCCAAATGATGTTTCGCTGGGCATGGAAACAAATAGAAAGAGTTCCTGCCCCAAAGAGCTAACAGTCGGGAGAAAATGTAAGAGGTGATTAAAGAGACAAATGGAGGAAAGAGGTAAAGAAAGTGTCTGCAGGCAGACATAGCTGTGTCAGTAATCATACGCAGCTATCAGCCAAACCAGGGCTAGATGGAAATGCCTCTCTTGGGGCTTGTGTGTACTGTCTTCTAGTTTGCATTCTCACATAAGGTTTAATAGACAGACAGTGTCTGCATTGTGTTGCATTTATTCTTGCTGTTTTTATCCCTTGCCATTCATCTGACACTTTGTTCGGTTAAGGTGTCAGTCATTGCCTTACATTAAATTTTGTTTTTTATAGTCTCAGTCTAACTCTGTCTCTCAGTTATTTTGTTAATAGAAATAGAGAATCAACCAAGTTTCCAATTTGTGCGTTTGAATAATAATAGGCAAACACAGAGTATAATAAATCGTTAGTCCTTATGGGCTGTATCGCCCTGCAGTGGAGTCCCTATTCCAATCCAGTTACAGAAGCTGAAATTTTATTTGAAAGCGAATATCTGATAAGGCAAATTAATTATTGTGACATTTTTCAATTGGGTAAAAGATGAGAAATCAGCTATGTCTGTGAAGTTACAAATGAAAATGCAACACTCAAGACTTGTTAATGCTTTTTCTGGCATCAAGAAAGGAGACATAGGTATCTAATATTAACTGGTGTTGCAGAAGGGCAAGTTAGCACTTTGTTTGCCAAATTAAGTTTCAAAGACTATGTAGGTTATGAAGTTTGACTTTCTGCCTGTAAATCTTGAGTGACTGACAGACTACTGTAAAATAGCTTTGTTCAAAAGGAATCTTTGGCAGGCGGCATCAAAGGTTTGAAACTCTGGAAGGGATGAAAAGAAAACCCCACTTTTACAATGATTTCCCCTGAAGATCGACGTCTGTGTGAAATTTGCCTGGGAATTATGAGCGATTTACTGTATTATGTGCTGTTTTCTTTCACTGTATCCAAAGGCCCCCATGGTTCCTTTTATCTTCAAGATTTAGGGATATTTTTGTACATGAAATGTGAATGAGTGAATGCATCAGTGGAACGCAGGAAAAAAATGCTGGTTTTAGGCAGTTCTGTTCTCCCTTCTTTTATCGCAAGTTGGAGTGTTGGTTTTATGGCACCTAAATTTATGAGTACATATTTTTATGGTAAAGCCCAATGACATGTTCTGCATGCTCCATCAAGCTCTCTCAGTGTTTCTTCACTTGATTCACAGCTCTGCAGGGTATGAATCAGTCCCGTAGCATAACCCTTAATCTCTTTTTAACCAGAATAATGTAGTGTGTTTTTTTTTTTATGTATGGTGTGTGTCATCATGTCATCATCCAATTATGTAAACCAAAGAAGGGGAAAACAAAATATTTCCTGAACAACTCTTGTCAGCTGTCAATCAGCACAGGAGACGAAGTTTCTTTATTGCATGTAAGCAGCTGAGGCAGAAAATTCTTCATAATTCATGGATACTAAAGTCCATCCTCAAGCAAGATGTGGCACTGGTGGGGCGTGGGCAAAACTACCAGGGCAGTTTCTGTTTAGAAACATGACATGGCTTCTCATGTACAGTGAGAGGCTTGAGGAGAAGGAAAGCTCCCTCTGCTTCCCATTGACTGTTTTTAGCTTTCTGTATGCAGTGGTCAAAACTGAATCAACAGAAGACGCTTTAGCCCTTGTTTGTCTCCCACAGGGTGAACTGAAGAAGTGAAGCCTCCCAGCTGAACTACTATGAGGTCAGAAGCCTTGCTGCTATATTTCACACTGCTACACTTCGCTGGGGCTGGTTTCCCAGAAGATTCTGAGCCGATCAGTATTTCGCATGGCAACTGTAAGTATAAGAGGACAGAGGACTTCATTTGCATAATGCTGATCAGGGGACTTCAAATCAACAGTGTTTTGTAACAGATGCAATGAATGAAGTTGTTTTCTTGATGTCTCCCAAATCAGCCAATTTACGTACTCAGATACTAATATAGGAACGCAACGTTTTCATGTTGACTAATGACTACTGGGTGGTAAACTGCTTGCTTTATCTTCCAAAACCATAGCCTTTCTCCGTCTCAAACAGAGACACTTCAGGAGTGTATTCAAATCGAGTATCTTGCTCTTTCTAGCAGCAGAAGAAGGAAGCCGCCTCTCCGCCCGGCCCCGTAATCAAAGTGTCCCTCACCTGACTTGTGAAAATGCAGTTCTGGGTAACTGTTGAAGCATGCCAGGGAATCCAGCATATCACACTAGAGTAACTGAGCTCTGAAAACATAATTTGTTCATCTAATATAAATAATTGAACTTACTTCTTTAAGCTCTGATGGTGTTCTGGTTTTGCTCTCTAAACGGTGATAGATGGATTCCGTGTTAGCATTAGGCATTTTTTGCTAAGCTGGAAATGTAGCTAAAATCCAAATCACGACAAAGAATCTTTTGTAACAGAATCTCTCTTCTTTCTTACCAGCAGTAATTGGCAAACTCTGCAAAATCTAGGGTAACACGGACAGCTGCAAGTCAGTGCTGAGATTTGCTGGCTAAACAGGTGAAGATCTTTCTGTGCACTTCACCATGAAAGTCAGGCTTAGCATAACTGATTTTTTCACATTTACTTCAACTCAGTTACCACCACTCCAAGGAAAAAGCTCATGTAGTTCCAAAGTTTCAGATTTTTAAAAGGAAGTCTTTAGCATCTGGATCTGTAAAAGTATGCTAAGGAGTAGCGAGTCAGCAATGAGTAGGCTTATGTTTAAGCCTACTTTGCGTCAAGAATTTGAATTTAAAGTGAATTTCTTGGTTGTCTTTGTTTACTGTGTTCTGGGGTGGCCTTGGCACCCACAACTTGTCTGTCTTGGATAAGACCAAGCTGAAAGACAGAGTCCAGGGGCACACTTGATGTGCTCCATATGCTGATAGGCATCTGGGATACAAGAACAAGGCAGAACTGCTCTGAAGCAAACCCTGCTGAAACATGTCTAGTGTGAACAGTAGGTCTTCAGCACCAACATTTTTGCCCTCTAGAAAAGTGAATAGCCAGTCTCGATCTTTTGGGAGGAACAGAATATGGGAGAACTTCTTGCTCTGCGGCGTGGCATGCTGAAAAGCACTTGAATGTACAAGCCCCCAGCTCATGCTAGATCGCTGAGTTACAATGAAACAGTACTGGACAGAGAACTGCTTGACGGTTAAGCTTGGCATTTTACACGTGAGACTCGATCAGAAGGATTAAGCTTCTGAACGTAAATCCTGCCTGCGCTATCTTAATTTGTTTCTCCAAGCGATGTCAGCATCTGATTTGCAGGGAAGTTGCTGTTTCTGTACAGTTTTATCGCCAGGGTTTCTGACGCATGGCACTCTTAAGTGCTTTGCTGGTGTGACTCAATACTTTGATGAAGCTTAACAGGGAAAATACTTTTAGAGGACAGTAGGTGAAAACACTACTGCAGTAGCAGTAGCTGAGTTTCTGAAGAAATAGGCTCCCTCAAACAGCTCCAGGTTTCTGGGAAAGCATATTGATGTGGAAAAGGCTCAGGTATATCTAGATGCAATCAGCTTTGTGGTAACATGCACATGCAGCAGTTCTGTATTTATGGTGATGGTCTTCAGAGCTTTAGCTTCCTCCTGTCTTCTGTTTCTTTGTTTACTTAACTAGCTCCCTAGTTTGTGCATCTAGATGTCATGATCACATATACATATGAAGTCTAAGAGCAAGGTGGCCCTTGGTCAGAAGCGTTCACTATTGTTACAGGTTGTACACACAGATCATCTGGGGAGCAGCAGCACACCCCGTGTATGCTGAGGTCTCACCAAAAGAATCATGGGAATAGAGTCAATAAATGCTTTGGCTGACTGGTAGAGTTGGGGAGGGGAGGGGAAGCTGACTTGTTGATAGCATAAGCTCAGTACAGGGCTTCCAGTCACTATTGTTGTCCAGTTGCCAGAAGAACTGGAGTACCAGACTGGCTGCCAAAATAGTACTCAGTGACTTATATTTTATAAAGTTCAAGTGGTGGTTTCCCACCGTTTCTCAGAAATCCCCACAGCTGTTCTACGATGGTAGTCCAATCGTGTAGGAAACACAGGGAGCTGGCAGTTTGAACGAAGGAGAGCCAAGTCTTTTGCTTTAACCACTACCAGTCCAGTCATTGTTGTGATTGATAGGCCACTGTGAAACAGCTTTGTCCTGCTAGACACACTTTGGCAGCCAGGAGGAAACATTTAAGCTCTGCAAGCAGCGAAAGAAACACTGTGAAAAAGTGCCATGTACCTATGTGCCAAGAGCTCCAGAACAGCTTTAAGCTCTAAAAAAATTCACAGTTTTTGTCTTCTTCAAGGGTGGTGACTTCCTTCTTTGCAGCTGCAAAGACTGTAACCTTGAAGAACTCTCCAGCCCTCTGTGCTCATGCCTTCCAACCCCAGGCTGTGGTGCCAGGGCAGGACAGAAGCCACAGGTTTTGGCTGTAGCTGGGGCCCATAGTGCTACGTGTTAGCATGATTTCAGTTTGTGATTCTCTTTTGACCCTCTATGTTTTTTCCCCTTCCCGCAGATACAAGACAGTATCCAGTGTTCGTGGGTCACAAACCAGGGCGGAACACCACGCAGAGGCACCGGCTGGACATCCAGCTAGTCATGGTCATGAACAGGACCCTCTATGTTGCTGCTAGGTCAGTAGTCCCCTGCTTGGCCACTCCCCCCTTGCTGCTTTCAGAGGAGGAAGAAGAAAACGAGGGATGTTTGGAGTTCTTCTCTGCTGGACACATTATTTTTACGATTTTCATGTGCTGAGAGAGAGCTTTGCAGCCTGTTAGTAAGACATATTGGAAACCTTGCTAGTCATTCAACTGATGTTCAGTTTTGCGAGGTGCTGAGACAGTCCTTTCAGGACTGCACACCTCTGCCTTCCTTTGAGTCCAGCAAGAGGGAAGTTGCCAGAGAAATTGTTCAGTCCCAAGGAGGACAGAGTCCATCCTCACCCTGTAATTTTGTTTGTGCACACCATTAATGATGTATTTTAGAGAATGATTCTGCTGGTACACAAATACAGGTTCGGGTAAGAGTTATGAAACTGTAACATTGCTGTTTTAGGCATATTTTTAATATCTTACAACTAAAAAAGAGGCAAACATGTTTGCTGCTGTTCTTTTGATGTGCTTAGCAAGGTTAATTCAATTTGGTGCCTGGATTTTTTGGAAAGCTATACTGTGCAGATATAAGCACATGCCTTTTTATAAAATTTGCGTATGGAGCCACCCATTCAGTTTGCATATCTCAGCACGGCACCATCAGCTTCAGCAGAGCTACACTGATGTATACAGCTGCCAATCTGGCACAGATCAGACATTAACACTTCCTGTCTCTGCCTGTTATTAGCAAGGAGATTGACGCTTAGAGTGGGAATTTCCTGATGGATGCAGGAGAAATGCAAGAAGGGTCCAGATTAGCAAGGGCCAGTAGTCCAATTTAGGAGCTTTTGGATCCAGATCCTGTTTGGACCTCCCTGCAAGCTGCCGCTCTGGTAGCAGCTTGTTTCCTGCTAGTTTTGTGGTCCTCTTCGTCAGAGAAATACACACCCTTCTGCATGTGCCACAGAGAGTTAGGCTGTTGCTGCGGGTGGGAGAAGTGGTGGGTGGGATGGGCAGGAGGTGAGAGGGAACAGCTGCGGAACAGGCAGCCCCTCACCACCGCCCCTGTCCTCAAAGCCTTTGGCAGCCTCGAGGAGCTGCCCGGCTTCTTCCTCAAACAGCCACTCCCCATCGTCTGGGTGGTCGGATGTGTCCTGTGCTCGAGATGAGCCTGTTGATCTCCACTCAGCACCAAGTAATTAGTTGCATTACACCATCAGAGTCACTGAGTGAAGTGTTTACATTGTTGTGTCCCTGGCTGCAGAAGACCACGCTTCTGCCTGTTGACCTACCCAGGCGTTGCAGCCCCACCAGCTCCAGGCAGCTGCTTTGCTCTTCGCACACATGCCAGTTTGTACGGGCTCTGGGCAGCCCCAGGTCAGGTCCAGGTGAAGAGCGTGCGTCCTTCCACGGGGAGCTGTGGTAGCATCGGTTGTAGGACATGAAGCACGGCCTCCCTGTGCTTTTCCTGAGCTCAGGGCTTAGTGTCGTTGCTACATTTAATGTGATAATGAGTGGGGTAGGGGAGCGGGCTGAAGGGGTTTGAAAGGTGGTGGCAGGATTTCCTCCTTTTCATGGCTGAGTTCCCTTTGCTTTCCTTATTTGTTTTCCTTTAAATGAGGAAATCATTTGCAGTGAGAAGGTGGTAAATCCGCTTTGTGGATTTTGCTTTGCTGTATTCATAGTTTGTTCCCAGACTGAGATTGACGCAATTAGACTGTTGCAGTGCCAAAGCAAGCGGTATTACAGCAGGAAAACCCAGTGAAACATTTTGGGATATGAAACCACTGTATGCACAACTTACATAAAGAATGCGACTTACATAAAGAATGCTAGTATTTGGTGTATAGTATGTGTACTGGTATGTGAATATACATTCTTACGTATTGTGTGGCTATATATTTATATAAAACAGTTTACTACAATGAGAGTGCTTATATACTCGTAGGGTCTAGTGACCTACAAAAAAGAATAAAGACCTGTTCTGTTTTGTGCTTACACAAGCCCAGAAAATCTTCTTACACTTTTTTCCTGTGGTAACTCAAAAACTCTTTGACATATTCTTTTCCCCCTCCACATGTTACTGAATAAAATCCCTGCTGGGCTGAGAAGCCTATGTGATACAAGTTAAAATTCAAAGGTCATTTTTATCCTTAAGTAATAAACTTCAGAAAATGAATCATCCTTTGATAACTCGGGTGAATAAAAGTTTATAACTGCAATACTGCATCTCTTTTAGAGGCAGTAGTAAATCTGTAGACTGAAGCAAATGTGAACACAATCAAAGGTGTTTCTCAAAGAGTTTTGTAATAAGATTCATTGAAAACTGTAGCTAGCATAAATCCCTTAGCTATTGTATCAGATATTGTTTTCATGCTGGTTTTTTTAGACATTGAAATACATTGATGCTAAGTTTACATTTGTACCCAATTATCTGAAAAGCAATCAAAACAAATGATTAAACATTGATGGTTTTTATTTTGGAGTTGTTGGGTTTGGGTTGGATTTTTTTATTTGTTTGCTTGTTTTAGAAAATCCAGTGTTTACTTTACAGACAGTTCTCTTGCACGGGAGAGAACTAACTCAGGTTTGAGAACCAGTAACACTTTATTGCTGGGCGACTGGTGTAGAACAAAATTTCTGTCTTGTCAGTTGTTTATTTTGTCACATGGGGTATATGACTCCAGTACTAGCTATTACCGAATAAAATTTTGTGTCACTTCGGAAAGGCTTTATTCCATATTATCAGGCAGAGATACCCAGCCAGTGTAAATTAGAATAACTCAGCCAAAGCTCATGAAGCTGTGCTGTCCGACTATCTGGCTTGCAGTCTGCAAAGGACCTGCTCTGTTGTCTTTTTTCTCGTGGGAAGGGCACTCCCTCGCTGTCTCTTTCGCACTCACCCACAGCAGCGCACACACCCCCTTTTCTAAGTTTTCCATGTCTCCTCCTCCCATTGTCTTCTGCGGTGGCAGCTTTTGTTCACGTTATCTGTCAGCCCTCATGTGTATGTGCAAAGCGGTTTATTGAGCCCACGAAGCATCAGGCTAGCTCCCTCCTCATCTGCAGTTACACACTTCCAGACTGAGTGGCCAAGGGTCATGCACAGCCGGTGGCATTATTTAAATTCCCTTCCTCCACAAGATTATGCCATGGCAACAAAACTTGGTTCTGCTGACTGGAGGTGGGAAAAACGGAAGCTCTAGGATTAAGTCAATTTGTGTTAGAATAACTTAATTAGCAGCGAGCTGTACACATACCACAGCTAGTAGATAGCAGGAGTTGGGCAGCAGTGGGAAAAGGAGGGCGAGGACAATCCCGCATTGTCTGTGGTGAGAGAGCCCTCCCTGAATTTGACAGCTCTTTCGTTCTCTGCTGACATTGTCAGCAACTACGTTTCATGTGCGGCATGAGAAAATGATATGTAATTTGCCTGATACTAACCCTCTTTCAGATGATTGCGTAACTTGGCATCTGAGTTTTCTTTGAACTGTTTCTTGAACCAGAAAGTAAGTCCCCTGAAAGCTGTTTTATCGAGTGTGGAACTCAGTAACTCTGGCCTCATTCTGAATACCGCCACTGTATTTTCTAATTGTCTTGTTTAAAAAGAAAAAATCATAACCACTGGAAAGCAAGTCTGATGATTAAAATCAAGAGCTGTGCTGGAAGAAGGTCTTTAGCGCTCCAGCCGCACCTAATTTGCAATTCAAGAGATTTTGTTCCCACTTTCCTATAGTAGGAGTGACAGCAACGAAGAGTGATGTACATGAAAAGGGAACCATGCAGTAATCTATGAAGCTGATGTCACGCTAGTAGGTAATTTTAGTCCAGCACCAACCCTGATCACTGCTCTGCCAGTGAAGTCAGGCAAATAACAAACTGAAGTGTTAAGCCCATCTTGGAAGTAAATGACAGCTCTAGTTTTACAGAGTCTGGAGGAGAAGAAAACCCACAAGTCCTCAGTCTGGCATCTTACAAAGCAAACAGCCTGAAGCACCGTAGCAGACAGCAGATTTCTAAAAGCCAATTCACCGCAACAATGCTGCCTCTTTTCTCCACGTGAGAGAATTGTTGCATATTCCTCTTATGGCAGTGGTTTCTGTTTGCTTCATTTAAGAGACTGGCACTGTTCCCCCAAAACCCAATAAAATCAAGGTAACATTTAAAGGGGGGATTTCTGAAATGAGAACAGTCTGTATCCTACTTTCAGCAGGCCCCTCCAGTGCTGTGGATCATGCTCCAGCTGCACAGCTTCCTGCATGTTGAAAAAAAGCCAATGTTATTTCAAGGAAAAATGAGATGATCAGTCCCAATTTGATGTGACGGTTACTACAGTGTTGTGGGTTTTTGAAATTTTAGGTTACATACAGAGATGTCCTTGTTCTCAGCTTACACAGAGAAGAATGTTTAAAAATATCTCTTCACCTGAGTAGCTGAATCTGTTTCCTTTTTCCAAGGAGAGATTGGCAACTAACTGTAAAGAGGGACAGGTTCTCAGGAAAACAGGAAGGTAAATGCAAGCAAGAAATGTGGACTTTTTCCAGAGGAGTATTTTACAGTTTAGTTTGGCCACCAGTGTGTGAAGAGGAGAATGATTTCTAGGAATAGTTTTGTAGCTGTCAGCCTTTTGCCTACCATATTGTCAATCAAATTATCACAGCTGAGGTTAGATGTGTAATTTTAAAAAATTTAAAAAAAAAGAAAGAAGCATTAACCTCTTTTTAACCCCGAGTGGCTAAATGTGGCACAGTGACTGCTAGCCTAGGAGTCTGGCAAAGGCTGCCTAAGAGCTATTGCAGCTGATTTCAGGATACAGAAAAACATCTGCGTGCTAGAACATGGCATCTGCTGTAGGACCTATAGAGCAGAAATTATATGAAGCTTATCTCCTTTCCAGAATCTCATTTGTTCGAATAATTGCTTTTGGGAAACAATCTTGCTTTGAAGTTTTGTAGCATTTTTCTTTTTTTCTTAATGGGAAGGGAGATAGTTTATATATGAAAGTTCTTTCTGGGAGAAGCAGGCGATGCTGTCAGTAATGTTCCCTGGTAAGACCTGTGATCTTCGTTTGAATGGATTGTGGATTATCTTGTGATAGATAGCTCTCTTCACAGAAAATGAACTGTCTGACTACTCCATTTGACTTTGCATTCATTTGCCTTTGTTTACAGGGACCATATTTATACTGTTGATATGGACACATCACATACAGAAGAAATTTATTTTAGCAAAGTAAGTAGCTTTTATCATCATCCAGAAACCAAGGACACTAGAACAAGCTTCAAATAAATAGGAAGATGACATTGTTTCAAACAACTTGCCAACGCTGCTGTAAAAACTGTAATAAGCAAGTAAGATGGCATTGCTAATCATATTTGGGGAAAGCTAGAATAGCAATCATGTCCTCTGTGAATTTCTGATAAGTAATTTAGCTGGGCTGATAAGCAATCCGTACTGAAATACAGTGAGGTCCCTGATGGAACATCTGTCAAACATATATTCATTTATATTCAGCAGTTTTCTGTAGCAGCTATACTATCCCAATTAAGTATACTGAAACTTTCATCATAAAAAGCAAGTGCTTTTTACATATTTTCATGCACACAAATTTTATTCACTCATCCAAGTACTCACTAAATAAAATCTTACTATAACATCACTTTGTAGATGTATTCACATTATCTCTATGGGAAGTTACATTCAAATGAAGAAGAGCTTTTTCTGCATTACCATATTGTATATTAACATAAGCATACTAGAAATAATCTCCCTTCGGCTTCTTTGCATTGCATACACATTGTGTAATACATGCCAAACACAGTCTTGGTCCAGCAGAAGGTCATACAAATTCCGGCACTGGATGAATTCCACTGTAGTGGAGAGTGTTTCATTATAACTATGAATGATGCTGAAGATGAGCTTATGATCAGCTGCTCATCAAAAAGTGAGGGTGCAGGCTTGTAGTGGAAATAAACATTCACGGTTACGCTTTCAGCTTGGGGGCCTTCATGAGTGCACAGTGCCACGGCTTACTGATGGGGAGCACTGTGAGGACTGTTGTGGCCATAGTGTGTAAGGTGTTACTACTGTTTTAGGCCATATGTTTTGAAGTAAAGTTTTATTTTAATTAATCAGCCTATCACATTTGACCACCCCTGAAACTTACCACAGAAAAGTCCAGGCTGCGGTCTACCTGTAATTGTTCTGGAGGAAGAGTATTAGCGGATAAATTCAGCAGCATCTTCACAGGTGGACGGCTCGCCGAGTCTCTTAGGTGTCTTGAAGTAATAAGAATTACCTGAATTTGACTTCTGTGCTGATCTAAAATGTAGTCTGCTAGAATACATATTTTGTTTAGAATCCAGCTAGGGGTTACAGTCTGTAAATGTTTATTCTGATTGTCAGAACAAGATCAAATTAAAAGAAGATAGCATCTAGTAGTTTTAAGAAAAGTGCATATGTTTTTGAAAGTTCTGCTATTGCTGAATTCCGTTGGTTTGGGCTTTAAAAAAATGGGATAGGTTTCTAGTCTAATGAATAGATGGCAACAGAAAACTAAGTGAATGCTTCACATGACTGATCTTTCGTTGTTGTGGTGAATTAATCATGGAGAAAGGGTGCAGAAAGCTTTCAATAAATATACGTTCAACAGCCAGTCTTCCCTAAGGGACTTCTGAAATCAAATGCAACAGGCTCTGGGCTCTAATTGTTTTCTTTCTTGATCCTTGCAGAAATTGACATGGAAATCTAGACAAGCTGATGTAGACACATGCAGAATGAAGGGAAAACATAAGGTAAGCAATTTTCTTTTCTTCTGCATCTGCCACTTTAGTTTAGTTGCCTCACTATTATCTCAGACTGCTGTCTGTGATGTGGAATGGATCATGCCGTTCTCTTCTTGCCAGTAATTGCTTTTTCCATCAGCTTACTGAAGGCTTTAATTTGCAAAAATAGTTTACTTTTAATGTGATAAAACATTACGACAAGAGCCACAGCAATATCCTGAAATACTTAAAGCACTGGGGATTTTGGACATAATACTTAAGTGTATTGAGTTTGCTTACCATTGCCTCGAAAGCTAAATGCTGCTGTCTGTCCTTCTGCAGGAATTTACTGAGAAGTTTGTGTAAAGCATCGGTAAGCATGAATGTGTACAGTTGTAGAAGGACTATTTCTCACACCAGTTTTACCCTACTGTAACCTATGACCAGCACAAGTGGTACCAGAATTAGATGCAGACTCTTTGATTTTTTACACCTGCTTCCCCTTCTAGTTACAGATGCTTTATGGGAATACATTGCATTGGTGATGTCTTACAGCAACATAGATGAGAAGAAGATCAGATATTTCACTCTTGAGGAAAGCAACAGCATTCAAACAAAATTCACCTATGTGAACAATAGCAAAATCTGAGCTATAATATGAATATCATGTCTTCAGTTCTTTGTAACCATTTTTAAACACTAGAATACAAATCAATTGCGTGTTGCTCATTGTCAGTTAAACATAGTTGAAATAAAGCCCAGAATATCACAGTGGCTACCAGCCAATTTCATTTTAGACCTGACAATGAAATATCGTGGCATAAAAATAAAACCAGACACCCAAAATGCGGTAGCTGAAATGCTTTTTATTATTTTTCTTCAGGATGAATGTCATAATTTTATTAAGGTTCTCCTAAAAAGAAATGAGGATACATTGTTTATCTGTGGAACAAATGCGTTCAACCCTTCTTGCAGGAACTACAAGGTATGTGATATTTTTTGAGATTCCAATTATGCCTTGTCTTTCTGTTAGATTTATTGTGACCATGCTGGCAACAGCATGAGATTGTCATTCAACAGTGCATCATTTGACTCTGTAGCATTTATCCTGACTTGTTTCAATGCTACAGAGCTCAATGTTGATTGGATTTCTGACTCCTGCACATCAAGTTTATTGCCACTTTGCATTGCCTTCCATTGATTCAGAGTCCTTCAGATCCCTGCTGACCACTGGAGATGTGGTCACTCCTCAGAAAGTTCCTCAGCTTGTTACTGACACTCACATCAAGTCATAGACTGAATCTGAGGGTTGCTGCTGGGGCTGTGTCTATTAAATGTCTCTGTTTTACTGTTCTCAATCCCAAAGCCAATTCTCAAGACACTTGAGGGCTTAGCACAGCAAAACCTGGGAAGATTAGTGTTGGGGACTCAGCATATGTGGAAGCTGTGGAGATCATATGGCTGTAAAAGTGACTGACAGCAGATTTCTACAGGGAAAGATACAGTGGGAGGATGATGTATTCCTCACTAGCTGGGGATCTGCAAAGCCAAAATATTAGTGTTTAGCCAAAATAGTGTAGAAAACTGTGCTGGTCCATGGATACTTGACATTAATTCCTTCACCCCAATTTTTTCCTTTGACATAGTGTGTCCGTGTCATCTGCAGAGCCCATTTATCCAAATGCTTCCCAGTTTCTCAGGCTTGCACCAGTGTAATCTGATATAACCCCCAACAGTGGATGTCTCTGGAGCAGCTTTGAAAAGAATTCACTTAGGCCCTGGATATCCAGACTCTGCTTTTTCAGGCACTGCTGTGTCCCACAGGTCATTTCTCATCCTCTTCAGGAAAAATAAAATTCATCTTTGCTAATGCTGCTTTTGATAAAGTCACAGCACAATTCTCGTTCATTTCATTGGTTTCAGAGTTACTATGAAAAACAGAGGAAAGGCATTAACATCCAGGAAAACGAGTTGCTTAGTGGTATTTGCTGTGACTGGTGCTCTTCCTTGCTTTTTCTGAAATGCTGCTTTACCCTGTTTAGCCACTGTGATGGCTACAGTCGAGGAAACACTGAAGAGAAGCTCAGCATAGTCTTTTCTTTCCATCAGTGGAGACAGAGTCAAATCTGGATGAAAATACAAGTCTGCATCGTGGTAGCTGTGTGGTACAGGTAGCTGCTCTGTTAACAGCCATTGCTCCTTTTCTCCCTTCCTTGCATCCCGCACATAGCATGGAATGAAGCTTCTCAGTCTCAGTACTGTATCTAGTCTGCCAGCACACTTTGTCACTTTTTAGCTCTCAGGACCGTCAATGCGGCTAACAAATCTCAACCAGTCCCCTTGCTAGAAAGCTGTCTCTTAGTACAGGTACAGATCTCCCTGGCATCCTGATGTGAGGGATGTCGGTGACCCTCCGTATCCTTACCACAGGGGTTGCATTCCCTGTGACGCATGGCTTCTGCAGACTGCCTCACCACTTGCTGAGCTGCAGGGGCCAGATAGTGATGCCTTTGGAAGTCAGTAGAAAGTCTCTCCAATACCCACCCTGGATTTTCCTCCATTTATGTCGGCATTAAATAGAGAGAGCACCAAAGAAGTGCCAAACAGAAAACAGGGCTGTGCCTCCACACTGATGTTGGAAGTGTGGATGGGCCTGGGGTTTGGGGCTCGGTGCAGGGAAGATTGCTCAGGGCTGTAACTCGTTTCCTTTCACTATCACGTGAAATGCTTTTCAGCCCTTGAGAAAATGCAAGTGATTCCCTTCAGAGTGGGTTTTGACAGGAAGTGTACATGACAGAAAACAAATGATGACACATCATCGTCTGGAGGACTTGGGTACTGTAACGTACGAGGTAAAAGTTGATTGGAGTAGTTGGTGGTGCCGAGTGGGTTATTTTTCATGCTCTGTGAATTTATACCATATGTGATTTACACAGTATGGGCGGCTCAGGTTACTTGAATATGCTAGAAATATTCTTATTCCCAAAATATGGTAGTATAAGAATCTTAAAGAGGTAAGAGCTGTACCTTTCCCCCGTAGGTCACTAAACCCGCTTGAACTTAGTGTAAAGTTGATCTGTATATTTGTGTCATTATCAGTGCCCAGGTTGAGTTTATTTCCCAGGAGTTACACTTAAGCCTCAGATTTTACAATTCCTGCACAGATTAATTCTTGCCTGACGGTAAGAGGATTTCTCCATGACACAGACTCAGCTGATGCAGTAAGACTTGGAGAGCATCCTTCTGAGTATGCAAATCGAGGAAGAGAGCACCACTGTTGAGACTAGAGCAGAAGGATCTCCGGACTTTGGGGAGAAAAATGCACACACAGATAAATGTCCTAGTGTTGTTTCTTCTGACTGCTATGGCTTGCAGTCTTTTCTGTGTATAAGAGCGCTTCTGTTGCATCACTGTAGAGGATAAATTTTGAATCCTTGCCAGAACCACAGACCACATAGCCTGCTACAATTCAACAGGAAGCATGTGTATAGATAAAATATAGACTGAAGACTTTTGTGAAATGTGTCGAGATAAGAGTGATTAGCTCCAAAAGAATGCCTGACTTACTGGATGCACTTTCTTCACACTGATTTTATTTAACACCATGATTTTTGTCAGGTTCTTAATTCATAGTCAGGAGAAAAGTTAGAGAAAAGACCTGCCTCGCTGTCCAGAAAAGAAGAAACACTGTAGTAAGCCTCATCCTGGGTGAGAAGTTTTGTTTCTCTATCTAAAGAGCTCCCTTTTGTTTTTCAGATGGATACCCTGGAGTTCCTGGGAGACGAATTCAGTGGAATGGCCAGGTGCCCCTATGACGCAAAGCATGCCAACGTTGCATTGTTCGCAGGTAAAGTGATGGAGATAAACTTTTTGCTTTCTGTCCTGCAGCCCAGGCTTGCTATAGCACTGTCTCTGGAGTCCAGAATGCCAAAATCTAAAACGCGGCAAAAGGAGTGAATAATGACTAAAAACAGGGGGCATAAGGAAATCACTGTCATAGAAGCCTTCCCTTCTCTGGGATTAAATTCACTACCATAAACGTTGCCTGAAGCCTCAGTTTCCTGGTTCAGTGTTTCAGTGTTTCCTGGATTTTTGATAATATGATGCCAAACCAGTGCGAGGCACCACTTCTGGCTGCATCTGGCTTCTGCGAAAGTCAGGGAAAGTCAAGGCTTGTGTGAACTTTAGTGAGTAGCAGGCAGGATGTTCTCTTTAGCAGCTCTAAGCTTAAGTTAACCTTCATAATAAAAGGAAGTTAGGGAACATGCTGTGATGTCCCCTTTTCTATATCTAGAAGGAAAGGGAAAGTGATTTTATTTTAAAGCAGAAGACATCTGATTGTGATGTTACCAGCTGTTGTAGACAAAAGAGACAAGTGTCTTGGTTAATAATGATTTGTGCTGTATGCAGCAGAATACAGTTGGCTCTGATATCTACTACAGTAGTTAAAACAAGTGAGTGCTTATTAATGCGGTTAATTTGGGCTGTCAATTGTGAAATAGTATTTTTGTACCTCTCTTCATGAATCCCTGATTAAATTGTTTCTTTATTGAACTTCTCTTGGTGTGAACCTTGCTCATCTTTTCTTAGATTTGGCTGTAAAATAGGTGGTGAAGATAATACAAAAGTCACCCACGATAATGTCGGTCCTCTTCAGCAGGTGTGATTCTAGAAAGCAGAGCCTGGGTGCTCACATGGAAATACTTTAGCTGTTTCTCTGAAGACTTAAGAGTGTGTCAGTCTTCCAGCCACTCTCAACAGAGTCTGTGGCCAGAGGGCTGTATTAAGCACTACTGTGTTTGAGGTGGCATCATCTGCCTTACAAAGGAGAGATTTTATAGCAGGTTGCAATTTATTTTTTTTTTTACTCTCTGTGGTGTAAATAAATGGGTCCTTTTGTTTAAAAAATAATGGTGATGATGGTGGTGGTGGTATATAATTTCTTAATTACAGTCAAAAGTACATAAAGTAGAAATTCTCTGATTGTGGCAGGTGATTCGTAAACCATGGGAAGAGAAAGACACCTGCAGAGAAAGGTTTATCCCATGTGTCTCAAATTCTCTATGCTTAGGGCAATCTGAATCACCTTTTAGAAGGGCCTTTCTCACTATTATGGCCAAGAAGGCATTTATGACCAACTTAATGTAAACATATACCTTGCATGCAGCTGAAGTTTGGTAAGATGACTCCCAGTCTGTCGCTGAAGAAGGCCTCGCGTTATTTGAAAATAAAAAGAATATTTATAGAAATCATCATGCTCTTTCATGATGATTCAGAGTAGATTTGATACTTTTCAAATAAATTCTTGTAGAATATACCATATAAATCTGCTACCTTCAAAAAATCGCTGGTTGATATGCCATACATATTGATACCCATAATAACTTTTCAGAGTGCAGTGAAAAGCAGTTTCAGAGCAGTTTAGGGCACTAATCCAGCTCATCTGAGTCTATTGGGTGCATTTACATGAATATGGCTCTTCTTGCAGCCTGTAGCTGTTACAGCTGATATGTGCGAATTGTAATTGGTCGCATGGTGTTCAGGATCTTGGCAGGAAAGAAAATAAATGTGTGATTGTGTTAACATGAGTTCAGACATCCATATCTAAACAATACAGCTTGTTGTTCCATTTTAAAATTGTTTTTAGTTTCTGCTTTTCTTGTAATGATTTTTTTCTGGTTTTGGTAAGAAAAAAAGCCGATTTTTACATAGCAAATAATGGGAATTGTGGGGCTCAGAACAAAGAGTACAGTCCTGCTAATAAGAAACAGTCTGATTTTTATATCTTGAGATGAAATTAAATCTAATTGCAATGAGGAGAGCTTCACCAGTAGAGGCCTCTTTGCTTTGTCCTGGGTATGTCTTCAGTGCTGTTGTCTTCAAAGCCCAGCACCAAACAAAATCTCTGTCAAAGGAGATGTAGGCCTTCTGAGTTTTATGTAGACACAACAGAGACACAAGTTGCTGTCGATGTGCTGCAGTGCTTGTGCTCCTACCAGATGTGATGTTCCAAGATCTGTCTCACACAAACAGGCCTGTACAGTTACCATGACCTGCAAACAGATTAGGCAACAGATACCATTTAAAAATGTTGTTGGGGCTCATGCTTTTACCTCCTGATGGTTTTCCATCTTTTGGTTGTCCTTGGGGTGCCATTTTGTAGACCCTTACTTATCACTTGTCCTCTGGTTCTCTAGGAGAGAGGAATGCATAATTCGTGTAGGAAATGCCTAAAACCCATTTTAGAAAAGAAACATGAGCAGGCAATCCTCCTCGGTCTCTTTGCATCCCTGTTTTGCCTGGTCTCCCTGCACTCTGTTTAATTTTTTGCTAATGATCTTTGGCAGAGGAGAAGTGCTCTCCAAGTGAGAAATTTGCGTAAGTGTCAATTAGCTGACAGTCCCTAATACCTGTCTGGTTTAACCCTCCCAGTTAAAACTAACAGTTCTGTCGTGGCTTCCCCATGTTTGTGGTGCTCTCACACGTAGACAGAATTTATGAGCATTGGACCGGAGCCATGTGCAGGGAAACTGGTAAGTGTCGTTCAGCATGACTTACCTAAACTGGGGAAGAATTATTCCATAGGGTTTCTTCTCCCACAGCATCCTTCTGACATGATCACTTTGAAAGCTGGTGACTTGCTCAGCCCCATTTATCTGGCTGGATTTTTTCCCTTCAGTGTTCCTAAGGTGATGGTGATGATTTTGTTTGCCCAATCTCATTTGACTGATGAGAGAATTCAATTATATTCTTTCTAATGATCCTCCCCTCTTGTTTCTTCTTTCCTACCTCCCCAGAGGGAAAGCTGTATTCTGCCACAGTGACCGACTTCCTTGCAATAGATGCAGTTATATACCGGAGCCTTGGAGACAGCCCAACTCTGCGGACAGTTAAACATGACTCGAAGTGGTTGAAAGGTAGATAAACAAACAAAACGCAGAAAGCGGCATCTCTGATGTGAGTCTTGGATTCCTGACAGACCTCTCTGTCATTTCATTTCACCAACGCTTTCTGGCAGAAAGAGGGAACTAAATTACATCTCTTACTTACACTGGGCCTGACAGAAACTGTGAGCATGGTAGATCAGTATATATATATTCCAAGCTGAAATCCGTCAGTTACAGATGTTGGATGTAAAGGTTGGAACTTGCAGGACTAGGTGTGCTTGGGCTGTGTTTGAAAATATTCTTGCCCCAGGACTGTGTTAGATTTTAGTCAAGGCTGCATGAAGTGTAGAGGGTTTGTGCTGTAACATTAAGATTCATCAATGAAAATACACTTATGGGAATATTGCACAAAGCCTTTCTTTTATGGTTCTTAGGGACTGTACAACTGCCATTGAATTAGGCGATTTCTGTGCTTTAAATGCCCTCATTGTTAAGAATGGTGCTGTTTAGCTTCATGTAGGCGTTATGAATAGTTAGCATTTGGACTGATTTTAACAGGGAGCAAAGCCATAGTTTGAAGTCTTTTTCTGTGTGCAGAAATGTTTTGCCAGGTGTCGACTTTAGCTGTCCCACTTTGCTTGCTGCTACAGACACTTGTGGCCAGAAACAGTTGCATGGTTTGTTATTCCCTCCACACACAGCCTGCATGCCATGAAGAGCACTGCTTGGACCTCTCAGGCATACCATTATATACTGCTTCATTACCTTTCCTCATGCACCACACAAGGCAGACGTGTTAGTGGCAAACACCTAACTACTGTGCAGTGATTGTGCACAGCCTAGTCCTCAGACAGTGGTTCATCCATGGTGGTGATGTTGCACGTTCTAAAAACTGAGAAAGGTTGCCTAATGTGGGCATTTCACCTTTGGTTGTTTAGTGTGAATATATTTGGCTTATCCTTGCACACTATATGCTGTACATAGTGCCTGAATAGGATATCTTGGTTTTTTTTCTAGAGCCATACTTTGTCCAAGCAGTGGACTATGGCAATTACATTTACTTCTTCTTCCGGGAAATAGCAGTGGAGTACAACAGCATGGGAAAGGTAAGGGCAAAAAAATTGCCTTGAATGACTTTGTCAGATTCAGGAGGAGGAAAACATATGCTATTCTTGGACCAATGCTGTTAGGAGTGACCTTGAAATGAGAACCATAAATCACGATGACAAGGTCATCATTTTGAGAAGATTCCTATTGCTCAAGCCAAAAGGTTGGTTGGAGTGAAGCATTGCACTGTCTTGCACTTGTTTCTTGCAGTGATGGAGTATGCTGGAATCTCTTTTCTCAAATCATAAAAAGCACAAGGCAAATGTAGTTAGTTAAGCGTAGTAGGTAATTGTTAAAATGGATTCCAAAACAGGGAGATCTTTTTCTTTAAGAGATATGAATTGGAGTGCTGAGTAAACAGAGGCAGGAATTTTGTGCTCTGCCATTCTGTAAAGAATAATTAAACACTTTCTGCATTTTTGCTAATTTCGCAATGGCTTTCTGACTAAGCAGTCAGAAAAGCTGACCGATGTCACAAAGGTGGAGGGCAGGAATAAAAGCCCAGAAAGATTTGCATAGTTTTTAAGTGCTGAAAACACAAGAGTCAGAACAGGCAGTGTGGGTTGCAGGGATTGTGAATATAAAATGTGCTTTTGTTTGGGGAAATAGAAAGCTAAGCAGTCTATATGGAAATGAGTTTTATATGGGTTGAGAACAGATCTCCTGAAGGATTTATGGCTGTGTAGTAAATGCCACAGCCTTATCTTTTATAGCACACTGTTCCAGAGCTGAGTTTTTCTCTGTTTCTTATTTGTCACAGATTATGGAACATAGGATTAAATTAAGCACCTTGCTGTGTTATTCCAAATGTTTTAAAAGCAGAATTCCGACAAAGTCTTCTAGTTCAAATAAACATTTAATTTTCTCCATTATTTTTGTGCTGCTCCTTCCAGGTAGTTTTCCCAAGGGTGGCTCAGGTTTGCAAAAATGACATGGGAGGATCTCAGAGAGTGCTGGAAAAACAGTGGACTTCCTTTCTCAAGGCTCGTTTGAACTGCTCAGTTCCTGGCGATTCACACTTCTACTTTAACATACTACAGGCAGTTACAGATGTTATCCATTTCAATGGCCGGGATGTTGTTTTAGCAACCTTCTCCACTCCGTATAACAGGTAATAGGCACAATAATCTTTTACCTTCTGTTTCCTTGATGTTTTGCTTTTCACTGCAGTTTCATTTTACTTTATGAAGGTACAAGAAGTGATTGCTCATATAATGTAATTATTATGTACCATGCGCTTACTGATAGTTTATGTTTCACTTTAAAATACCCTAGTATTGCTTACTGCATTTTGTATCTGATAATTTAGAGCAGCTTTCAGCCATTTACTATCTGGACACATTTGTTGGACGTACTTTTCTTTACATGGAAATAATTCAGACCGACCACCAAGAAGTTTTGGAGCACATAACTTGCAGAATGTTACTCCAAAGAGAAAATACGATTTTTTTCTTCTCACAGAGAAAAGACTTGGTCTGTCCTGTTTACATCTAAACGCCCAAGAACCATGTTGTAATCCTTCCCTCTATTTCATGGATCCCTGCAACCTCTTGCATTTTCTTCTGGGAGAGCCAAGATCCTACGCTGTCCTGCTGGCTGAGGAGGAGGGTCCCCAGAACACCTGTATTTCATTGTTCACGTGGTTTTCCAAAAGCATTGGTTCATCCGCAAAGAATGTATTACCATTACACATTATGACATGTTTCTCCAGAAGTTATTAGAAGAGTAACTGTATCTAATTATTGAGGTCTCCCAGAGAAGTTAAAAAAATAGTAGCATTCTAATTAAAAAATATATTGCTGTTGCACAGACTAGCTTTTGAGCTGAAAGGGGAACTTTATTGCTGAAATTCATCTGGTTTTGCTGTGCGCTCACCACCTCTTGTTGAAGCCTGACCTCAGTGAAGTCAAGCACAGAACTGACTTCAAATGAAAGTAAACCCAGGCCTGTAATGTATAATTGCTGGTTTTGGCATCAAAACTATAGGAGCTGCAATGGAATAATTGTGGCACCAATGGGGAATACAGGCTTAAATTAATGTGATGTCTTTTTATGCAGACTGGCTTAATAAAAACAAATGAATAGAGATTCATCATCAGAAAATAGGTTACAACCTACAACCTTGAGATTGTCTCAAAATTGAGATTGTCCTCCCATTCTGCTAGTGTCTCCTGTGGCATGTCATGAATACTACTTTTCCTTAAACCCCGTATTTTAAAATCTAAGCACTTAGTGTTAAAATCAAGGTACTATTTTATAGGCCTCATTTTTTCCAGACATTGAACGTGACAGGAAGGCGCATAGGCTTAGAGACACCTCATTAACAGACCTACCTCTGACACAGATGCATCTCTCTCATTCCTCCTACACTGAGGAAAAGCTGCAACAAATAACTTTGATCTCTGGAACAAAGCTTCGCCCTAGAGTGAGCTGGAAGAGATTCCTTGGTCTAACCTGAGGTCATCCAGGGTAGGGGCTGGTGATGGGCTGTAGTCCAGTGGTTAGGAGATAGCTTGGCTGTGACCCACAGTACTCCATCTGTATGGCTTTATGGTACGGACCCACAAATTGCCATCATCAAGATGTTGCAGTCTTCTCACTGAAGCGAACCCTCCATCACTGTGGAGTTATGTGTCCATCACTGTGGAGTTATGTGTTGAGCACAGTTCTCAGCACTTTTATTTTTGTATAGTACACCTCAAGATTTTAGGGTTGTTTTTTCTTTTGGTCTTAGTTCAGCAAAGTGCAAAACCTTCTATCTGGAGTTGGTTCTTGAGGTGTCCTATTTAGGGTGAAGTCCTGTGTGTGGCCAAATATACCCTTGACGAACTCTTACATTGACATACGTGTGGCTGCCTGCATTTAAAACTCTCGCTGTGTAGTATCACGTTAATACAAAGCTTTGAAGTTTCCTTCCATATAAAAACACAGTCTGTGGAGATCAAAGTAAAACTAATACTGTCTCCGTACTTGTTGTTTCCTTCAGCAACAAGCGTTTTGAAACCTTTTGATATTCAAACATTTTCCTACCAATTTATGTACGTTTATGAGTTGTAGCAGTATTATGGTTCCTACATTTTTTCTTTTGTGTATAATAACCTACTAGCTAACAGATTAGAAAGCCTCAGCCATCTGGGTTCATGCTATTTACCTGATAAAATCAAGTGGTGAAAGTCAGACATGAATACAGTAGTTCATGTGTAAAGAAATGAAAGGTGTCCAGATGAATAATTCATGCTTCCAAGTGGCTGACCATGGGAAACCCCTAAGCCTTTGAGAAAGTATATAGGTAAGGATATAATTACTTTTAGATAATGCTATCATGCAGTTGCATGCAAATAAGAAGTTGAAATTTACAACTACAACATGATCTAAAAATAAAATTGAATTTGCTTTTATAAGGTCTTTATAGCTCATCGAGTTAAGCAAACTCCTGAGCATAGTTAACTCCTTTCCATTGGGAAAAAATGGTGATCAGACTGTGACAGGATGGAGTAGTAATATGTAAATGCCAGGTCCGTGGCACATAGCATCATGCTCCCTGTTTGATCAGTGCCAACTTCTGAACTGTCCACACTGTGTTTCTGAGGCATGACAGGGACTGTGAGAATTAATACCAAGAGATGCTGTGACTTACAAGAACTTAAATTTCCAAATAATGGGCTCTGAATGAGACTAGCTATTACTCCTCATGCATCGCCAGTGGTACACAGAGCTTCCCAGATTCTTTCCCTTCTTCGAGATTATTGCAAGTACTTCTTTCTATAGAGGCTTTGAAATGAATTGTGCTGGCAGGAGCTGTCTGCTGATTGGTATATTTCAGGGTTTTCCATGAGGCTGGCTTTTCCTGTCAATACTCAGAGGTTACAGAGTTCAGGATTGAGTAGCCTGTGACAGGAAGACTTCTATACAGAGTGTTTTTCACTGAAGATTTTATGCATAACTGCAGAATGAGTAACAATGTTTTGGAAATGTCACTTTGCAGCATCCCTGGCTCTGCAGTCTGTGCCTATGACATGCTTGACATTGCCAATGTATTTACTGGGAGATTCAAAGAACAAAAGTCTCCAGATTCCACATGGACACCAGTTCCTGATGAACGAGTGCCCAAGCCCAGGTATGTTTCACGTATAGTGATATTGTTCTGTTCCTGCACACAGCACAGAGGTTTTTGACAATTTGAACAGCCTTGTAAGGTGCAGGTACAACTGAAGATACATGTTATAATAGTAAAATAGAAGTTGAGTTGCATTTGCATCTCAGGTATGCAAGTGACAATTTTTCCACTTAAGCAAGATTTGTGTAACTTAGATCAGGCCAGCATCAGATCTACTTGGTCAGAATAATCTATCAGTTATGAGTAGTGTGTGTTACACACCTGTTACAAATTGGTTTGGTAATGGTTATAGCTCATTACAAAACCTGCACCAGTTCTGTGGTTTGCTGTTCTGCAGTTAACATGCAATTTATGTGCCACAGAGGATGCATCATGGAAAGGCAAAAACAGCATTCCATCAAAATGGAGATTCAGTTTACCTCATTCTTCCTATGAGATGTTTTCGCTGCTTTCACTTCCTTCCTGTTTGCATGTGGCTCCTCTATTACACTCTCTTCGTATTTTCTACAGGCACCCATTTTGTACAAGTTGCTGTTGACAGCCCCTTGTTAACTCATTTACACTAGTGGCATTTTGCTCTGAGAATATGATACGAATGTAGATAAATTCATTTATCTCAGTCAAGCTCTACCACTTCAATGTATGTTTTACATTGCCTGTGATGCCTCGCATAACTTCAAAAGAAAAGTATATCTGAAGCGCTGTGGTGGCAACTGAGCTTCTGCCTAAATCCATGGCCCATCACATTTTAGAGTTGCTGAGTGTAGTATTCCTGTGCTCTCTTTATTCTGAGATTGTCACTCAAGGGAAGAGCCTGGAGGTGGCTGGAAAGTTTGGTAACTTCTGTTTTTGGTCTGAGCCGTAGTAAGGCATCTACTAGCACCGTTGCTGGATTTTCATCTCCTTTTTGCTGTGTTTCAGTAACTCACTTACATGGTGGGCTGCCTTGGTAGTGCAAGGCGGCACGAGGGCTCCAAGGTCATGTGTTTGGACCTTACTCAGATAAAAAGGGAGAGTGTAAAGGAGCAAGAGAAATCATTTCTTTCAGTAGGAAGGAAGAAGAGAAAATTGCATTGTGAGTTTGTGGGATGATCCAATAGCAGGCTAACGGTTATGGTGACGCTCCTTCTACTCCAGTAGGAGATAATTTGAACCGAGTTCGTGAACACTGTTTCTTGTAACATTTGGCCATCAATCTGCTTAACATAAATAATCATTATATCTAACTCATGTTGAAATGCATGAGAGGCACAAGATGCCTTTGAAATAAGGTCATTTTTATTTGGATATCCCAGTATGGTGCAAAAATATTAGTTCTCCTATTGATTCTAACATTTCTCAGAAATCTACTGGAGCCTTGCAAGGGGCCTTGCTTCCCTTTTTGGCTGAGGCGCACAGCAGGGTTTACTCGGTTTTATGTTTACTCAATTAAACCAGTTTTGAGATTAAAATGGGAATAATCCAATCATGTGATTAGGATTTAGGCTGAAATAGGCTTCCTGATTAGATATAGAGAAACCCTAGGCACTACTGTGCCAGAAGGCTGCTCCCTAGAGTTCTCTGGGAATGTTACCTCATGAATCAGTGCCCTTGCAGGGACCTAGGAGACTGGTAATGCCCTTGTTTTTTCCTTCTCTCCCTCTGTTGCTAGTTCTGTATGCAGTTACAAGACAGCAAAATATTCTGGATACGAAGAGGCAGAGCACACAGTCTCTGCAAGTAGTGTTTAATATGCAGCTGTGTGGGACCACACTCATTGACCCAGCTAGTCCCCTACAATCCTGTGCTACCTTCCTACATAACATTTAGTTACCTAAGTATTTATCTGAATCTCAGCGACAGATATGATAGGGCCAGCGCATATTTTGCTCAAGTTGACATTACTCCATTGATGTCAGTGGCTCTGCCCACGTCAGAGCAGATGAAAATTGGACACTGCAGTGTGTTTATGAATGAGTGGTCCATCTTTTGTCTTCCCACCTCACAGTGGCTTAAATGCTTCAAGAATCATAATGCTCTAGGAAATGGGATCAAATGGAGATCTTTTGTTGGAGAAAATAACGCACAAAATGTTAATCACAAGCAAAGCATTTTGCTGTTTCTTTTGTAGAGATGACCTGTCCGGGCGGAAGGTTAAGTTACCTCTGAGGAGCAGGATAGATTTTAGGAGTACGGTGAGCAGATTTGCATTTAAGTTACTGAAGAATGATTAGATAACATTTCAGTGAAAGTCCTAAATGTGCTGTCGTACTTAAATCATCCATCCAAATTGAAAGAAGAGTAAAACCAATATTTACATGGGTGCTTGCTGGGTTTTCTTCTCCAGTAGTCCACTTTCTACCAGATGGAACTGAAAGCAGCATTCTTTCACACTTGCTAAAAAACTCAGCTTCCTTCTGTATGTTAGGGACTGCTTTTATTCCAGGAGTGAGCAGTCAGCTAGGCAGGTTACAGATTGGAAAACACCTGTGCCTAGTGCGCAGCATCAAGCCAAGCACACACATGCAGTGATTAGGTTCCATGTGAGTGGATGAATTACAAACTGCGTGTGTCACACTCCTGCTGAAGAAACAGCTTTGTGCTGTTAGGTGACATGTTAAGTCCTTTTGAGTGGAGGATAGAGCAGGATTTTAGGCTTTCCGTGAGGGGCTGAACAAGTCCACCAGACTTGTCAGTCTTCCATTTAAACCCTTGTAATGCACATCAGCTTTCACTGAGAGCCTCACTACTAAAGGAGATTTGCAATAGGCAGCAAATAAGTGTTCTGGCTTTACCCTCATGTTTTATTTAGGCCCGGTTGCTGTGCTGGCTCTACATCATTAGAAAAATATGTAACCTCTAACGAGTTCCCGGATGATACCCTGAACTTCATCAAAACACATCCACTGATGGACGAGGCTGTACCTTCCATTGTCAATCGACCCTGGTTCCTGAGAACAATGGTCAGGTACGTATCTCCAAGTGGATTCTTGTCCTCCTCATAGCTGTCGAGTTGTGCTAATAGTCTTGCTCAGAATACTCTCATATTCTGTAAACATCCTTAGCGTGCTGGGCAGGAATCCAGCTGGGAATGATGGCAGCGCTAAGCAGATGCCGCAGAACTCCCTGAGCAGTTTTCAAGATAGGAAAAAAACTCAGTCCTTTCCAACGATGCTGTGCTGAAATGGGATTTTGGAGGAAATGTTGCGCAGGGAAGGTTGACCCGCCTGTTGTCTTATGGGTCAGTGTTTGAGACAGCTCTGTAGAAAACTTTGGGCAAGGATCAGCACACAGCCCAGGGAAGTGTACACAGGATACAAACTGCCTGCCAGCATAAGTTCACAGGATATGAAGATATCTGTTGGGATATATACTGGTATGTTTTAATGTTTACAGCAGTGTACAAGTGGAAGTAATCACATAATCTGTATCCTTTCTATGGCAACAACAGAAAAATAATAAGAGATTTGAGCAAAGACTCGTAAATCAGGAAGCCTCAAATACACCATCCCCTTCCTATCAAACTACATTCTCACTCTCCGCTGTGGTCACTATACTCCCTATCTGCCTTCCAGTTGTGAATCGTGACTAACTTTTGCCATGTTTTACTCTCTTCCTCCAAACAAGGGTAGAGTTTTGTGCTGGGCAGTGTTTAGCTCTGGAAAGGTCTGACATAGTTTTAGTAATGTATCTTCTGTCAGGTTTTTATGTCAGGTTCTGTACCTCCAAGAAAAGATGAGAGCAGCAACCTCTGCAGAACGCTTTCCTTTGATTGCCAGGACTAGATAAGTGGTACCAAATGACCAGTACTTTTTTTCAATAAAATGTGTCATCCCAAGATTCAGTGTCATCTCAGCACTGAATTCACTTAGTGGCAGTTGTGTGATTATTTTTTGTGAGGTAAAATGGTGTTTAGTATCTCACTATTGCACCCAGACAGCTTTTCCTGCCAAAAAAGTTGAATGTTGATCAGTTACCATTATTGCTACTTTTAATGTGGCAGAGCTTGGAATTAATAAAAAATTTCACTGTGCTGATTTTCTTTTGCTGCCTGAAGAAGTCACCAGGCTAGTAGTTTGCTTTTGATTGGAACAATAATTCCTAAATGGCCTCAGACTCTTAGCACCCCTTCAGCTTTCCGCAAACGCTTATTCTAGCTATTGGAAATACGGATGTGCAGACAAACACATGAAAATTCCCCACCATTTGTGGAGCCAAACTGGTACAGTCTGTGTTGACTTACTGGGTTATTCAGCTAGGAAAAGTGCTTAAATATGTTATATTGTTGCTAGAAGGCTACCACGCAGTTATCTGATGTGGAAAAAGTGATAAAGTAAGTGACAATCTAATCCCAAGTGATGCAAGATGCTGTATTGTTATTCTAGATACCGCCTGACCAAAATTGCCGTGGACTCTGCTGCTGGGCCGTATCAGAACTACACCGTGGTTTTCTTGGGATCAGAGAAGGGAATCATCCTGAAGTTCTTGGCACGGACAGGAAACAGTGGTTTCCTAAATGATAGCCTTTTCCTGGAGGAGATGAACATTTACAATCCTGAAAAGTGTGTATCTGACTCTTTGTACTCATGTATGGGTGACTTTGAACTTCTGATTTCCCAGAGAGCAGGTTGTCCCCCGAAAAGGGAAGTGGTTAGAGAAGCCAAGTTTTTTGAGTAATTTTAAATTGTTTGAGGAGGGGATGTCTGCTTATCAGTCTCTACGTTGCAATAAGGTACTTTTTATTCAGCGTATGTAAAAAACAGCCGATCCTATGCAGCAGTTGATGGATAATTGAAAGTGAAATTCTACAAAGGAAGATTAATTTTCTATCCTATAAAAAACCTGATTCCTCTCCAAATAACTCAACAGCCAGCAAGCTGCTCTCGAAGGGAAATTTCCTGCATTTCAGCCTTCCTTAAATAGGCCTAAGGGGGCTTTGAAGAGGGCCGTAATCATGCAGAAATTTCAGTTACTTTGAGTGCTGGAGAAGAATAAACACAAAAAGTGAAGGGCCCTCAGAAAGCTTGTCTGGTGTGCTGTCTCTCTCTGCTTTTTATGCCCCTGTCCTGTGCATTTTTAATACTTGTTTATCTGTCTGGCAGTGGTTTTAGTGGCTGTTGCATGTTCTTTTTCCTAGGCTTGTTCAGTTCTACCTTTCTCAGGGGTTTTTTGTGGGAGTTTTTTGGGGAGGTTTCTTCAGCTTGAGGAATCATGAAGTTTTCATCTGACTTCCCAGCAGAACTCATTTATACCTTTATTTTACATTTTTTCACATCAGGTGCAGCTATGACGGTGTTGAGGAGAAGCGGATAGTGGGCATGCAGCTTGACAAGCCCAGCAGCGCCCTGTACGTTGCCTTCTCCACCTGTGTCATCAAGGTTCCCCTGGGACGTTGCGAGCGTCACGGCAAATGCAAAAAGTACGTGTTTTCTGGTGGCTGTCAGAAGCCCACGTGCCAGGCACGGGGAAGGCGGGAGCACTCACGAATGCCACCTTGTGCTCTTCTTTCTGAAGGGCCTGCATAGCATCCAGAGACCCCTACTGCGGATGGGTGAAGGAGAGCGGGGCGTGCATGCAGCTGGTGCTTAGCTCCAGGTGAGGAAGGACTCTGGCTGGATGGGCTGTGAAGCTTTGGTGGTGGTGCCATGAAACGTGGGGCTCTTAGGGAAGAAAAAATGTGGGAAGTGTTTGTTTCCACCTTATCCGCATTCACCTCTGAAATGTCTCACAAATTGTTTTGGTGTGAACTCTCAGCTGATTGGTAACTGCTGAAAGAGGAGGAAGAAGAAAATGAAAGAGCTGTACTAAGGTCCGAGTGTTGTTGAAAGGAGGGAACTAGATGGGTATGTCTGGACAAGCCCACACTGGAGCCATCACAGCTGATTAAAGAGGCAATAGAATCCAAATTAAATTACTGAAGCAATTTGTCCACTGAAAGCAAAACCAGTCCTTCTAATTTACTGTGCATTACTAAGAGGAATCACAGAGCACAGTAAAGCAGATTCAGAGAAGTGCTGGATCTCCCTTTGCTTAACAGTAGAATTTAATTACTTTATAATAACGAAGGTCTGTGAAGGTTTGTTTAAATGTGGTTGCTAAAGACTCCTTGCAGGGAGCGGGACCCACTTCAAACTTTCATTTCTTGGCACATCTCGTGCTTGCCCACTCTGAAGAACAGCTATGCTTCCTCAAGGTAGTGGTGTAAGTGTAGCGCAATCATCACACAGCCTCAACAGACCCGCAGCCAGCCACGCTTAACCCTGCTTCTGTATAGGTCCAGTATGTAATGAATGAGTTACCATCCCTCTGCTTGCGTCATGTTCTTGATTTGCTATTTCAATTCATATTGTTTGTCCACTGGGGATGCTATAGCTATATCTCTCTGTATCTGCTTTACTACTAGAGTGTGGACTGTTCCTGACTGGACATTTGGTAGAATTACGTTAAACGGCACCTGTGTCTGTATCAAGTTTTCTCAGCATTCCCAAGGTGCTTGAGTCTTTCCGCACTTCCATGGCAAGCTGTAGGGGACTTCTGCACCTTACTCTTAAAAGGAGCTTCTGTGTTTTTCAATAGATCAGTCAAGACAGGCAGCACAGCTTGTGGTGATGCAGTCCAGAGGGGAGCAAGGCAGGTCACTCTCTGTCCAGCACATAGCCCTTAGGAAGGGGATCCAAATCAACTGTGAAGGTGTCTGGTGAACTTCTAAACTAGCCAACAGGAGGCAGAAATGTTAGGTGCCCTCCTGCAGTAGGTGACAGTTGAACACGGAGTTGGGAATGAGGTGCCTGCAAGGGTAATTATGCCTCAAGGGCAGGGTCGTAACTATTGCAGACAAGGGGTTGTGTTGGTGGTTTTCCAGGGCTCTTGTTATTCACCTTTGACTGTACAGGCACTTGGAAGAACAGCTTTACTAGTTATCCAGAATCGAAGGCAGAGGTTAGGAGTGTAAACTGAGCGTGTCAGCTAGAAAAGCCTGTGAGTGTTTTTCGGTAGAGCTCCCTGAGTTCAGTGGAATGCCTTCTGTGGACTAGACCTTACGCCTTGCAGCCTCGTCCAGCACAGTACGTCGATGATTGCTGAAATGCAGGTTGTCCTCCCCCAGCACAGTACCTACCCAATTGGTTAGCTTCCTTCTCACATCAAAATATCAGTGCACCTTGTCTACTGTATGGACAAGTTAAGGTAGGATCATAATTGTTCCTAATAATGTCATATATTATAGAGTTAACAGTTCAAAAAATACGAATCTATTTGCCTCCCTTGACAATGAGGCATGCAGTGGATTTTAAAAAAGTAATAGTAAAAAAGACAAAGCGTCAGCAGAAGCCAAGAGATCATTAAGCAACGGTGATAACTTGAATGTCTGTGTTGCAATTTTTCAGCCTTTGTATGGAAGTGCCAAAGAAACAGCCAGTTTCACAGCGGGGCTTTATTTCAGTTGCATGTCTGGTAATTTCTTTCTGTAGTGCTTGTGACTGTTGTTACTCATACTATTTTGTTTCTTTCCGTTATTTAGACTGACATTTGAACAGGACATAGAACATGGCAATACAGATGGCCTGGGTGACTGCCAAAGTAAGCAAAGCTTTTACCCTCTATTTACCATGTGTCACAGCATCCTTCGGAATGCCTCAAATCACCATTACCTGTTGGGCATTCTTTTGTAGCAATGTAAGCCACAATAGGGACAGCAACTGCGGCTAGTGATGTGGGTTCAGAAGAGGAATGGTTGTTTAGATGTATTCAAAGAAATAGCCCAGTTGGTGTGATTTATACAAACACTGGACTTCAAAGCAGTTATGCAGTGACAAAACCCCACTTCCAGGGAATACTGATTGTAGCCATGACATAATGAATTGATTGTTCGTTATCTTGATTAGCCACGGTGGTTGGGTTATTTATGTAAATGTACAGAAATGGCTTGATTTCTGGGTGTAGTCTGTGCCTTGGACTACATTCCCATGGACTACAGGGAGACAGTGAAATGTATCTTCAGCTTTCGATGCTGATCAAGAGGTGGGAACTACTTAGTTTGTGCATCTTAGTGGATTTTACACACAGGCTGGACAACATAGTGGTATTAAAGGTCTGCACTGGTGACACTGCCTAAGAAATTTTCATAGAAAACCTTAGGTACTGACAGCATCAATTGGAAGCTTAAACACAGTCTTTAAACATTTACGTTTTGCACTGAGGTGGTTAAAAGTGCACGGCTTGCACTGTGTGCAAAGAAACCTTGCATGCTTATTTCTCAGCCTTCAGGAATAACAACATCTGTGTTCAGGGCAGCTATTGTTCCAGCTGTTCTTTCCAAGGCTGGTTTAATTCTGAGCCCCAGATATTATTTATGAACCTTATGAAATGAAGAATCACATTCTTTTTGGCGCAGTTTTCACCAATGCCTGTAGATGCAGTAAAACTGCTGAAGCTGAGGAAGTAATGTACAATGAGAGAGTCATTACTTCTGGAATACAGAGCAAAATTATGGAGGGCTAGAGTGTGCCGTGGGATACAGCGCAGACCAGCTGCTCCGGAGGAATCCAGAGCCTTCTCATGCCTTGTGCATCCTTGTTCAAGAGCCGTTTATTACTGTTATCGCTGTGCTTGAGGGAGTACAAGGATTTCAGCCTCTGCATGCCCCCCATCTCAGCTACACCTCCCTCTACCTCTGCCCTAAGACAAGGTTACCTAGGCTGTCTCTAAGTTTTTTGAAGGAGGTGTGCGCATAGTCCCTCCTGTGCTCCCTGTAAAACGGATTAGCACCAAAACCAGGTCAGTTCCCAGCTGGTGCAACTTTGCCCTTTTCAGCCAATTCTGCTCTCCTTGAGCAAATAGGTTAGACAGGAGTGGCACATACCTGATAACAGTTAAATATGATAGAAGGGTAGGAAATACTCAGAAACAGCATGTTGTGCTCATGGAAAGAGATCTGCTCCCGTGCAGAGAGCAACAAACCCCATACCCTGCTTAAATCCCTCTTTAGCCCCGATTGATGCATTGAACCTTGCCACTGCACAGGGGTAGATTTCACTCCCTGCTAACCCATCTGACCTTATTATTTCATGCGGTATTGGGTCATGTGATTTTTTCCTTATTGACTCCCGTTGCTGACTGCATCACTTGTAGTGCCTTGCATTAGATTAGGACTTGATCTTGCAAAGAAAGCCATGGCAGGGAGGACACTGGCCTTCCCACTTGGTATCCCTTGCACAGGGCTGATAATGAACACTTCCAAAGCCAGACATTGTTTTTGGGTATGTCTGAATATTAGTTTTCCCTGCGTCCTTAGGGTCCTAATCACATTCAAATAAATATCAGCTGAAGCATAGAACGTTGCTAGCAGCAAACTGTTAAAAAGAAAAAATGAGACATAAATAATGATTTTTCCCCTGTTATTTGTCTTTCAGATTCCTTCGTAGCCCTGAATGGTAAGGAAGTTCTTAGTTTTGTTACTTACTGACAGCAAATCCATTTTGCAGGAATCGCTTTTTACTAAACTTACAAGTATTTTCATACTTTTGTTTTATTTAATGTTTCTTCCCAATTTATTTTGTTCATAGACATTTCAACTGCTTCACCTGATCATGAAATGTCTTACAACACAGTGTATGGTCAGTTTATGGGTGTTTCTAAAAATTCTCCCCAGATCCTTGTGTTAGCTAGTAGTTCCTGTACTCAAATAGTTATTACCATTTTTCGCTTGTTTTGTATTGTTTTTGAGGGCCTAATTCACTAATCACAACTAGGATGAAGTCATACCTTTTGATTTTAAATCCCTCTTTTCTAGTCTTCCCTGCAAACTGTCTCCATTGAATTAAAGTCAGATATAGTCTGTGTTAATGTCATGCCAGCAAACATGATTAAGATATGCTTCATCTGAACACTCAGACAAAGGAACACTTGGGTACAGTGATGCATGCATCTTATCTGTTCACCAGGAAAAACAAGATAGCAGCTCACATCCCACTCATGAGTCGTCCAGGCTGGTGTCATGACTGCTACAGTAGCCAGTCAGAGATACCTTAGGGAAAGGAGCAGAACTGTCCCTGGGTTACAGAAAGATCTCCCATAAGGAAAATTAACCCGTTACCCATGGCAGCTGAGATGGGGTTATGCCTCGATTCCTGAAAGTTCCTGTCACTTCTAGGGTGAGTCATTTATGTTATCCATGCTTGCAGTGTCTTAATGACTGAATGGTGCCTGGTCTGTAAAAAAAAAAAGGATTCATATACCAAATTAAATAACCTGAGCTGGAGGAGCATTTCTGCGAGCCTAGAGTAGCAGTTTCCCATGAGGCAGCTGTTAATCTGTGCTTACAGTACTTTCCACCACTTTGTTCTTTGTATTTGGAAGTGGATTACACTGGTACTTGGAGTGTGGAATAAATGTTTTGGTGAGGAATTATTGCAGAATAAATAATCCCTGTAAATTCAAACCTGAACATATATTCCAATAGTTTCTCTTTATAGACATCCTGAACAAAGACACAGACTCACAAGATAAGAGGATGTGTTATATTGCTCCCAGTGAAGTCAATGTCAAGTTTCCATGTGGGATGGGAGCTTGCTTGTGAAGTTGCTTTCAGGCTGTACAAGACTAGCAGTTATCAGAGCTAGGGCGAATTCACCATATGTTTGGCTGAATGTAGCAAGAGGTAGGTTAGTTTGCAGTTGCGATAAACATTTAATTGATCACTTCATCTCATGCCTGCAAAATATGTAGGTACAAAGCAGAACCAATGACAACTCAGTACGGCAAAATATAAATAACTGGAGGCACAGTAATACTGTTCAACATTTGTAAAAATAAAATCGAATTCCCCGTGCTGTTTATTATCTGGAAATGGAAGATGTGCAGGTGAAACTTGTTTGAAATTATGATAATGAAAACCAGTGAAGGGAATATACAAAATCAAAGACAAGTTGAGACTTTGTAATTTATTGAAGACTCATGGTTTCATCTGCATACACAGATTATACTTTCTTTCATTTGGAAATTGCTATGTTTCCAGTGCACAGAGTAGTAATTAAAGAACAGTAATAATAAAATCCATACTGCTCAACATGAAGAAAAAGAAGATGGCCCTGGGCATAGTGCGGATGTGCCAGAAATGTCCTAGGTTTCCTGCTTCCAAGTGCGTTTATAGGCTGCACAGTTACAGGTGTGAGGCTGTGGTTCTGAATCCTATCAGCTCCCATATTCGTAGGGACTTTAGCAAAAGCTGACATTTTAATCTGACCAAGCAAGTATAAAAATTGTTCAAGTGGCAGCAGAGTGAACGAAATTGCAGTCCTGGGGAGTACAGGTTACTAAAGGGGTCCATTCTACTGTCCTGCCATGTCAAGCCGACAGGCAGATTCCATGAACTAACCCAGCTCTTCAAATAGGACCCTACTGGCAGATGCAATGGAGAAGTGCTGAGCCAACATTAACACTGGTTCCCATTCACACCCTGTCTTCACAGATGATTTCTCCTCAGGTTCATTCTGATAATACGATCTCTAGGCAAGCCAGCTCTTCTTTTCATGGGTTTAGTTGAAGTAATACTCATTCTGATACATCCAGTGTTTCTTTTCACCTACCATAGTAAAATACGAAAGGAAGTGTACTAGTCACCTCTGTTGATCTTCCACATGAGGAGTGTAAAAAATTCCAGCATGAGGCAGCAAACCAGTCTCAGTAAACATGCTCGTGTTTGCTAACTGTAGTGATTACTCTGAGTCATTTTTTTTCCTGAGAAAACTGAAGTTCTGTAAATGGTGCATTTTATTATTATTGAGTACAGTTAAATACATAAGTAAATGGTATTTCTTAGTAGATTAAATCTCAGAATGCTGGGATATACCAGAATACCAACAAAGTGAATGCTCAGGGTGCTTTTGGATCCAGTGGGCTAAATATAGGCACCTGAAACTCCAGTTGCAAAAGAAGTCTTAAGACCTGATTCCCTTGATTTATTCCCCTATAAATCAGCTCACTTCAGTGGACTTATTGCTCATATGTAGCATGAATGAAAGGAGAACCAAGACCTTAATCTTCATATTCTTGGCATCAGCCTCCTCCTCAGTTTGGCAAATGGTCTCCCTTTTCTGGGGCAGTCTCACATGATCAGTTGTAAACAAGTAAAGTGCAGTGTCCGCACAGGTGACTGTTCAAGTGCATCCCTTTGACACCCAAGGAGAAGACAGCAGGCTGATGGTCTGGCTGCAGACGGTCAGAGAGAAGTGATGCAAGAGCCACATATTTAAACAAGGACTAGATGATCAACAGAGGTCCCTTCCAACCCCTACCATTCTGTGATTCTGTGCAATTAGGCTAGATTCCTCTGCAAAATTGTAAGCAGCTTCAGCTACCATTGGAAACATCAGTCCTTAGTGAATTTGGCTCTTATTTTACCCCCTAGCCGTCGTCCTTTCTCCCTCTAGTATTGATTTAGCCTCTCCCTCTAATTGTCTAATTAGGTTGCTATAGATGTTAATAGGATAGTGTGCAGACATCATAACCTCTGAGATCCTAATGACTTACGCGTATTAGAGCAACTATCAAATACGTATTGAATCCCTGTCTTTGTTTTAAACCTGAAAAAACCTGCTGATATTTTACAAGTGCACTTCAGAATGAGCTCTAGTTACAGAAGTGGAGCCCTTCTCAATCATTACCCATGCCTATAGACACTGAGTGCTTTTACTCTCCTTCTGTTACTTGATTACAGCACTCCAAATGAAATTTTTTTTGCAAATAATGGAAACATCTAAAACAGATTATTTTAAAGTGTGTCTATTTTGGATTTTACATGTTTGCTTTAAACAAAGAAATTTGAAAAGCACTGTGTCTGCAGTTTCTCAGATGGATGGTTTTAAAACAAAGGCAGTATTGTCTTTTTAGACTTGTAGGTATTAACCGATATTAACGTAGAGGTACTGGCCACATCTCAGGTATGCTAAAGCCTCTTTAAATTGCAGTGAAGCCTATTTACACAGAGTGGTAAAAATCAAGTAATGGAAAAAAAAGGCCCACTACGTGTTGCAAACTATACAGCACACTGTAAAGGTTTAATAACGGCTGTGTGTGAGAGGGCCAGGGCTTGTTTCCCTGCCACTTCAGTCTTTTCTCTGTTTATGAGAGAAACTTAACTAGCTCATACACTTGTGGTGCTGCTCTGCTCAGAGGTGAAATTCACCCAGCAGGACTGGCTGTTCAGGCCTGTTCTGCTTACAGGAGCAGCCACTGCCCAGTTGTGTTTGCAGAAGACAGCCCTAAAACAAGTGGGGAAGGCTGTTAAGGTCTAATCTGCTCCTGCCCTGCTTCCAGAAAATAAAATGGAAGAAAGTTTATCTTGGTTACATGTGGAAGGTTGTTTCTCAGTGTGTACTAGACTAACACATCAGTAACAGAGCGAATAGACTGATTTCTTGCATTTGTGTGAAACCCTTCTCTACGTAGTGACCATCTGGTACACATTAATATCTTCACAAAGCCTTAGCTTTCCATTACGAAGAAGTTCTCTATGTATTTCGAGCATATGGTTCAGGAAATCTTTTTTCAGAAAATGTGTCCCTTAGGCATATATTTCCTCTAGATTACTGTATTAAGAAATGTTTTTCTTTAACCTTACTTATGGTTTTTCCTTAGAATTCCCCCTTTAAGCACACCTAAATTCCAAGTGTCTGGACAGAGATACGGGTGTATAAATGCATATCAAACACTGACATTAAATATTATTGCTACTTGGCAAGATTTTCTTCTCTTTTACCTCCTTATCAGGCTATGACTAATTGCTTTCTTACGCTGAGTGCAGCACTATTTGTAGGCTGACCCAATATTGTACATATTATTACGGTTGCTGAATGGGGTATTAACTTGGAGACTGGAACCCCATGAATGTTGGCACTGTGGTTTGGTCCTTAGGGAAAAGAAGACATGGAAACCTCATCATCTCCATTTTCAGGCCTGTTCTCTGTCCCATTATTTTTCTTGGGGATGAGCACAGAAGTTGACAAATGTAATATGGTATAGGAGTGAAAGCTTTCACATTCCAGTGTATTCATGTTTCAAGAGAGCACGTGTTTTTAGTCAGTGGACCTCTACCTGTCCTTTTGGAAACAGGCAGACCTGCTACAGCACTGCTGTGGAGCACATTTGGATTGGAGTCCATCATCTATGTAACTGCGTGTTACCAGTGCTCCCAGCCGTGCTGTGGCTTATGGAAACTTCTTAGAAGTGGATAATGTATGGCTTGTCTTTTCTATTTGAGCGAAATCAAAAGCTCTGTCTTCAACAAAATGCAGCCTCTAATTTGCCACGTTAAAGAAAGATGGCTGGGAGAAACCACACTTTGTATCTGGAGTGGTAAAAAATAAATACAGTGACCTTGTCAGTATAAGCCTTCAGCCTGAGGTCCAGAGCTAAACTGTGCTGATGATCAGCTGTAGTAGATGAAGGTTGGCTCTGTTGTGAGAATGCTGTGAACCTGACCGATTTTCACTGCTAAGCGTACCAGTTACAAGAGTTAGTTGTGTCCACGTCCTATGCAAGACACAGTGCAAAGTGCTGCCATACATAATCCTGTGCAGTAATTCAAAAGTTCTCCTCGAAAATATATGGAGCAGCATGGACGTTTTCTTCCTCTGTAAGGTGATTAGTAGTCAGCAGAACTTCTTTAAATCATAGCAGCATCTTAATAGAAGCTGCAGCGTTTTTGCTGACTTCATCAGTAGCTCAGCCACATGAAGCTGGGTAAAGGGCTGGATAAAATGGAACATGGGTGCATTGAAAAGCTTGGGAGCATTGGTGGGCAACATTTAGATATTTGTTTGCTAGAGTGAAATTGGGATCCTCTGTTCATCAGTGCTCTGTGCACTTCTGAGAGCTGGGGCTGGATGGCCTCAGAAGCCGTCTGAAGCAGCCTTTTTGAGATACAGCTTCCAAAAGCTTTATGCTTATCCAGTGACCATTTAAAATAGCATACAGAAGCAGTCTCTACTTGCCCAGTTCTGTGCCCTTGCTGTGAGGCTCTAAATTTGGGCCCCTTGTGTTGCTCTATCTCTGCCCCAGTGAGTCTTAAATGATTTTTCTCAGTAGCGAAACAACTTCAAGGGAAGGAGCAGGCAGAGGGTCCCTGCTAGGGTAGTCTGTAGCCTGATGATTGGACTCCTCTCCAAGGGAGACTCACATCTAAGGAAGGAAAATTAATTTGCAGGGCTGTTAAAAAGGAGGCAGGATAAAGGAGTGCTGCTGTCAGTCTGTCCAGCGGTATCTGGAGAGAAAGCATTATCTGCCATTCCATCTGTGAATAATCCAATTCTGTTAGTTTGTGTTTGAGCATGTTTCAAAAACCCCCTTTTTTGATGAGCCCTTTCAGGAAAGCAGGTAGAGGGAAATGTAGTTACTCCATGTCAAATTAACCAGCCCAGAGCTGCTAAAACTGAACTTTCAGAGATGCGCTCATTTTTAAGGTCAAAATGTTGTGGGGTGGATGGAGCTTTGGTGCCTCCTCCCCAGCAGCAATGGAACAGCCCAAGTCACTGGGATGTCCAGGTTGGAGCCATCTTTCAAGACACCATAGACTCCAAGCTCCCCAGGCATTTTGGGTGCTGACGTACTTCTCGGGATCTAGCTGAAAAGGACGTATGAATCTACAAACACATCTCTGCCCCAGCCAAACCACTGTTAAAATTGTGTGGTGTTTCCAGCGGGGCATGTCATGTCAACCTGCTGTGCGTTGGGGTGTATTTGGTCAGTGAGGAGCTCATCGGATTTATTCAGGACAGCAGTAACAACGTCTAGAGTAGTTGTAATGGCTGCCAAGAAGGCTAATGGGATCCTGGGGTGCATTAGGAGGAGTGTGACCAGCAGGTCGAGGGA